ACCTTAGATATATACCTTAGGCAGCAATATATAGACGGATCTAGAAATCCGACCTACTTGAGTTATAGATGCCTAAGATAAAATTGAAGCCTAAGGCAAAATTAGGGCCTAAAGGTACTAGTATTACCGCAGATAAGTAAGCGGCTAGCTAGCGGCTTACTGCAAAATAATAGTATCAGTTGTTTTGATTTTAAGCTACTATACGACGTAGCCGGCGTTTGTATATAAACATCGTATCTTGTTTGTACGCTAACGTTTTATAAGCTGCTTATCGCCGCTAGCGCGTTTAGTAGATAGATTTACTTCTACTGTACGATAATATAATACGTTTCTTTCTAGCGAGCTGCTTAGGTTCAAAATTGACTAACAGTCTGTTATCCGTTTGTACAATTTGGCTATTTTCAATATAAGCGGCTGTTCTCGACTAAGCGTACAGCGCGACTAGCAGTATAGATACCGTTCGTCTTCTATTACAGCTTACTAAAACATTAGCTAACCTATAGTATATTAACTGTTACAAAATAGTAGAGGCCCTATTAAGGTAACCTTGTTAAGATCTATAGTAAGAATAGTATTATAGTAATCGTATAGGAAGTAGATGTACCTATTAAACTCCTACTTTATAGCGTATAGTTTAGCTTCGGCTACTAGACAATAAAATTGTTATTTTGTACTATCTACTAGAGTATATCAAAGTATATATTAATTATAATTAATTGATACCTACTATCGCTCTACCTTAGTAAACGCTTAGAACTCGTTATAAGGTATTATACTACGCCGATAATCCCCGTATATAGTAGTAGAGTTATAGATACTAATACCCCCGTCTATTGCAAGCTAGCGGTCGATATATAAATCTATTTGCGCCTCGGGAATCAGATTGGTATCAAACTAGCTATTAAACTATATATATACATAGGGCAAGTAGTAAGAAAGCTAGGCGTTACAGCTGTATTTAGATAGCGTTGATCTATTAATATAATAGCTTGTAGTACTAAAATTTACAATGTAACAATAGTTAGTCGTTAGCTTCTACTAGTACTAGTCTTTAACCTTTACTTACTTAGGTTACAGAAGAGAGGTAGTTGTAGTAATTTAAGTAATTCGGACAAACTCTACCTCTTTATATATGTCTCGTTGCCGCGTTTGACCTAAGAGTAATAGGCCTCGACGTAGTTTATAGTTTGTATCTATAGATTGTTATTTAAAAATAGTAGACAAATTACTTAAATTTACGCCTATTTTAATTATATTGTCTTGCTAGAAATATACTGCCTATATAGGTATGAAGTCGATAGACTATTTACGTACGGTATAGTTGTATAGTAGGTTATTGGCGCCGCCTAGTAGACTATATTAAACCTTCCAAATATAGTCTTTTGACTATATAGTGTCTTATACTAAAGAAAGTACTATATGTAAAGCGGTCTCTATAATACTATATCCTCGCTTCTTACTATATCTCTAGCGTATCGTCTGTAGTACATATTGTTAATATAGTAGTATCTCTACTTTCGGTTCAAATACTAATTAAATACGTTCTATTTACTTATAAAGTTATCAATAATATAGTATTAAAAGCTACTAGCTACCGACTATCTACCTAGGAAGAGGAAGCTTTAGAGCCGGTAGTAAGTATAATAATATATTGTAACTAAAGTAGTATATAAGCTATATGGCGTTTTTTACTATTACGGACGTAAATCGAGCTCTATTAGTATCGTACGTTCTATCTACTATAATAAATCTACTACAAACCCTTTATAGCGCTAGTCCTTTATTAGAAGTATATACAATACCTCTCTTCTTGCCGTTTTTCTTAGTCTAAACTTCGATCTTTCTAGGTATTACGACACTAATATAGTAAGTCCCGTACGCCGTTGTAGGTAGTCTAGTATTTAGCCTCGCTGCTACCGATATAAGTATAGTTGTTTCTTAACAACTCGCAGATAATAGCTAAAATTATCTGCTACGCTACCTCTTTTAGTATAGTATTCTCGTTCTAGAGGTCGTAATAGCAAATATTATAAGAATAGGGATCTTCGTTGCCGCAATAGGTTCCGGTAGAAAGATACCTTAGGGTAGGCGTTCTAGGTTAGCCTATACTAAATTTTATAGTAGGCCCCTAATAACTATAGAATTAGAATAATATAAAATGAATAAAATAACTTCCCTCTTTTTCATCAAATATATCTTACTCCTAACGTCTGTTTTCCTTTGTTTTTTTTTATATAGCCTACGTAGTCTTCGCGCTTCTAGCCTTTTCTACTTGCCTATATCTCTTAGATTACATTTCCTGTTTTTCCTTTAGGCTGTCTATAGCTTATATATTGCTATGTTTCGGCTTATAGGTATTAAGAGCCGCTATATCTACTATATATATACTCTAAGGGTTCCTAAGTAGGCTTTTAATATCCGGTCTACTTGACAAGTACTTTACGTCCCTTCCCTTTAAGATTTCCTCTATCTACTCTTCTTTATATAATATCGTTAGATTCCTATTTAGGTAAGGGGTCTTAGGCGGCCGATCTTAAGAGGTCGGTATAAAACACTAGGTAAATATTACTAGGGATCCTAGATAATCGTATAGAAACTAGGGATAGGACTTTCTTAATAGTATATTTTGCGTATTTAGTATCTAGGCTCTTCTTTAGGTATATAGTTATATAATTCCGGAGGTCGAGCTATACTTTGTCTTCTTTGTAGTAAAGTAGGGTAGGAGTTCTCCTCTTATTAGCGTTCCCCTCCTATTTCTAGACAGCCTCTACTATATTAGCGTAGTATGTTGTAGTAATCTTCTCTATAAACATTACCGCTCTCTCCGAGGATGCTAGTATAGTATCGTTAGATTATACTATAGGGAGAGGTACATTATAGAGGCTCTCGTTCCCCTCGGAATTAGGTAAGTCTGTTATGAAATCTATCGAGATTTCCCGGTCGGGGACCGATAGAGGATAGAGGAGAATATATTCGTACTCTCTCTATACCTTATTTCTCCTATAATAATCGCAAGGAATTGCTAGACCTATCGAGATTGTAATAGCTAATAGAAATTCCGTCCGAGGATATAGGCTATCGCGTCCCGGCCTAGGTAGCTATAGAGTAGGGAATTGTAGATAGACTAAATTAAATTGGTTCTAATGATATTATAGTCCTATATTCTAGGATTCTATAGATTTATAGTCGGCTTCTAGTATAGTAGGAGCGCTAGCTACTTAGAGTTTTCCATATTATTTTAACCGGTTCTCTTCGTTAATAGTATAATCGCCTACTTATATTTTTATGTATATCTTTATCAAGAAAGTAAAGATACTAAGATAGTTGTACTTTGTATAATTACTAAGCGAGAATGTCTACTCTAAGGGTAAAGGACAGTCCTTATCTAGCGCGTAAATACTTATTGCCGCCTAGTAGTCCGTATGCCTCTTCTTTAACGGCTTACGGTCAAGTATCGCGTACTTAAGGGTATACTTCTATACCTGTAGCGGCTTATTGTTGTTATACTTCCTACTACTATCATTTCTCTAGCTAAAGCTATATTGCTTTCCGTACGCGTTGATATTTTGATAGGTATCTAACTTAGAGGCGAAGCGCTAGATACAGGGTTCAGGAATTTTATAGTATATAGTAGAGGCGGCTAGGCTCTCGTCTTCGGTTTCGATATTACTAGAGACTGCCTCTTCGTCGACTTTAGAGCGATTTACGCCCTGTTCGCTATTATTACCTATACTAAGTCTATCTCTTTCTCTAGCCTATAATTAGCTCGGTTCTCTCGCTTCTACGTCTGGCAGTACTAGCGTATATATTAAGTTAGTCGCTACTAGGTTAGTTTCTGCCTTTGAAACTCCTCCATAATAAGTCTCTAGATAGTTATAAATTTTAGGCTTAAAGATTGATATTCGTATATTCTTCAGATTTACCTACTAGTAGAAACTAGATTATACGTATATATCTCTATCTATCTCTATCCCCTTTTTAGGTATCTTAAGTTCTTAGTTCTACAGTTCTAATATCATATTAGGCTATTTAGTACTATTAGATTAGTAATAATTCTAATTTTGTCTCTACTACCCTTATAATATAGATTTACAAACCCCTATACCCCTATTTAGGTATTATGTACAATTCAGTTATATTGATTTGTTCTTTTATTGTCTTGAGCTTCTTTATAGGGTGTATATCCTACTAGTCTGAGATAGGGCTAGCTAGGCAAGCTCTGTTCATTTATTGTCCCTTCTAGCGAGGTCAGTTGCCTAAGTGTTCCTAGTCATAAGTAGCTATTAGGTCCCTATATTCGAATCTATATTACTTATTAATTCAAGTCTGTTATCTAGTAGTTGTACGCAAGGTAGTTAAAGGGTAATTACTATACCCCTATTGTACTCTAAAGTAAGTAAAGATCGAGATTATAAAGAGCAACACTAGGTAGTTAGGAGCAAGGCAAGATTTTTATCAGCTATAAAGCTAGTTTTGTACCTAGATATACCTATATAGAATCAGACCTATATACGCCGAAAGGCATCTGAATAGGCAAATGAAATATATACCTATCTATATCATAGAAGACTATGTTTCTTATTAAACAATCTGTCGCCTATCAATACTACGAGTAGTAAGGCATCTCTAGAAACTATAGGAAAGCTAGCAAATCAATAGTACGAAAACTACAGAAACGAGACACCTAGAGAGCTTTCTTCAGTAAGGCACCTCTAGAAACTAGAAGACTATAGAAATGAGACCTCTAGAGAGTTCCTAAGAAAATACGACACGGCTGTTGTCGTTGGTGGGTGACCGGTTTTTCAACTACCTGGTGGCATCTGTGGCGCGCGCCTTCTTGCAGAGCCCGCCCGCCTCCGCTTTCGGGGGCTAGAACGCCGCATATGTGCTGAAATGGGCGCTGATGTCGCAAGTCGAGCTAGATTGGCCACGTTTGACCATCACCAGTTGAAGGGAGAATAAGGTGGAAAGAGGTAAGAGGTAAAGATCAGGTACATTGCCAACATATATGTCATTATGTATGCTATGCCAGTGCTTGAGTGCTACCAACAAAGACCTACGATGTAAGAAGTATGCCGCTGATAAAAGCCCCAATCAATGCCAATCCGGAGACACGCAGGCTGACCCCGAATGATTGATCTACGGACTCAGATCCTCCTCCTCCTACACCCCCTGTGACTGATGGGTTAGTAGTTGCTTATCTCTGCAGAGCTCGTCTCTCCCGTTGCTCAAGACACCATCAATAAAGATGAAGCGACGACGATGGAAGATGACTCACCTGGCGATCCAGTATTTTCCGCGCCCTCTGCCGTTGCTGCAATCGTCTCTCCCCCATTCCCAGCCTCGGTCGGCACTTGGGTACTGTTTGTCAGCTCGATAATGTTATCCTCGGTACTGTTGAAGACGGTCTGAGCAAGAGATATCTCGTTGCGCGCGAGATCGTAGACAACGTATGCTGATCGAAGGAAAGTGTCGCCAAGAATATAAAGCTCATCAGACGGCAGTATGCCCAGGACACATAGGTTGCGAGAGTAAGGAATGACCAACTCGTTGAAAGGGACCTGTATCGTCTTTTGGTCGGTGAATTGAAAGTCCAGTGTCGCAGCATCGTCTGCTCTGTCACACTCAATAAATGCGACTTGCTCGGTCCTGCTGTAACGTGCACCAAGCGCATTGTAGATGCTGATAGTCAGGTCGAAAGGCAAGTATGTTAGGCTGGATCCAGAGTCGAGCGCAACAAAAATCTCTTCGCCGCGAGGGATGGACGACTCACTCCCTGTGACTTGAACACTAGCAAGTGGGATCGTAAGTGAACGGTACACGCCATCTTCATATGGAACAACGCCAATCGTCTCCAGTTCTCCTTGGTACTTCTCCGTGTTGACACCTCCGAACAAGAGGTCTCCTTCAGCGGCATCCAAATCGTTCAACCACATAGAATAAGCCAGAGTACTTATATAACCAGAGTTCAAAAGGCTGGTCGGAACATTGCTGTATATCCCTTCCCCTTGTGAAGTTGCTGATGCCACATTGGAGACGTAGCCAATGCCCAGAATACCGTCCTCGGTTGACGAGATGTATCCCACCCCGAATTGCTGGTCCAATAATGAAACTCCCTCAAAGCGCACCGTGTCTGTAACATAATCGCCTTCCGATTCTGACCCGTCAAGATAAGCGATCTCGAAGCCAGAATTGACGTACGAGTATGTACTCGAGCTATTGGCATCGTACGTCCCACCTCGACATGGTTCTGATATGGATGAGCAGTATGCACTGCTGGCTGTGTTGAGCCATAAGTCCGAGCTGCCAGTGTCGATGTGGACTCTGAATTGTTGCTCTGGAGTTCCAACTGTGATGTTCATGTAATACAGAAGGACTTCGTTCTGTAATGGAACGTTCACGGTCCCCGACTGTCGTTTCGTATGCCATCTCCTTCGATCGTTGGCCACGGGATTTGCCACTTCCCTTCTTCGAATGTGCTGGTGAACCACTCTCGCCTCACTTCCGGATCGTTTCGAGAAGTGGATTCCTTCAACGCCAAGCGCTGCTGTCGCTAAAACGGCTGTTGATGCTGCCGGGAACCTCATCTTGTGTCTTTCCGGACTACAGAGGGACTACTAGGAATCCATGTTGGCAGCACGTCTGTCTCATATATTCCCAGAGAAGAACATGTGCGTGCATGCAATACTGGTGGCAAAGGAGTGTCGATGACGAGTCCGGCCTTGGACATCAAGGCTGTGCAAGCCCCTATGAACTCGTTTGCTGCACAAGTGTTGATCCTTCTGCTGCGGCCAAGAATGACCAAGCCATGCGGCTTGCCAAGTCCGCGGACATAACGCTCCTCATGCAGTGAAGTGCAGCAATAGAGATTCAGGCGCGTGATCGTGCAACGTCTCTCTCCATTGCAAGCAAGCCGTGGGCAGGGCAACATGAACACCGAAGTCACAGCTCTCTCACATCAGCCTTTCTCATCCTGAAACCGAAAGCAATGCATGACACCAACACTGCGAGCCAAGGCGGGCCAATCTGGCGTCGTCCTGTGAAAGAGCGTGCTCTGCACGCCCGGGCTGCGGGTAGCTTGACAGGTAATTATAGTCCTCGTGTCGCTTCACCAGCAGAATATCTCGTGGTCAATGCAGCCATGAGCGTAGGCACCGGAGGGAAAGTTCATGTTCCGCAGTCGATGAGAGCGCAAGGGATTGTGCTTTCGAGCTGCCGTCTTCACAGGAACTGTATACTGCCCGATTAGCACGGTGAAACGAGCATCTGCCGTGTACTTGCGAGGGGGAGGGGGGATTTGGCCGGCAACAACCTGTCATGACATCTGGCACAAGGAGACCAGCCAGCTGCAGCGAGCATGCCGAACCGGGGCTGGAAGGATGCTAGAGAGAGCTGCTAGAGAGAGATGCTAGAGAGAGAGCATATACCAAGTTGTATCAGCAGCACATCGAGGACGCAGCAATGCATAGGAGGTACCTCCGGAGGCAGAAGAAGCTGTGGAAAGAAAGATAACCAATCCGTGCCCCAGTCTGTGCGGGCCGATGGCAGACGCCTCGTCGGGCCGAAGAACATGAGATAGTGTCCGAAATCTGTTTGCCAGTGAAAGTGAAGCCCACGATGAAAGGGGGCGACATGGAATCTGGCGCATCAACAGACGGGAAAAAGGTGCACATGAGATGCGTGCGACCCACGTACGCTCCGCCCTAGGGCGTTGGCAGCAATTGACATTGGTACAGCTGCAGCGATCCCGGTGGCTCTCAGCGGGGAGTCAGACTCAGTATGATCCTTTGTCCCTCGACAACACCCCGGAGCGGCTTCGAGATGAGTGCAGGTCGCGTTCATGGAGTCCGAGGAATCTGCCCTGCATCGGACACAATGTTTTGCTTGGTATGGCGAGAGATGCTGCTGACACCAGTCATGAAAAGGCACGTATACAGGATGCTGTAGCGGCGTCGCAAACACGTCTTCCTCGGGGGGATGGAGCGATCTATGGCGGTCAGCATCTTGACAACAAACTCACTTCTGTAACGATTCGGTCGTCCCCCTGAGAGAGTGGCAGATTTGTCTGGCGGGTTACTTCACCTCAGGGCCGTCAAGTGGACATCTTACCAGGTATACACCCATTTCTGCAAGTGTGCCGCTGCTACCTCGGTCCTTGATAAGTAACGGATTCGTTAGATTGCTTCGTTCTATATCATCCTACTAAGTATATAAGGAACTGTATAACGCGATATCTATGTATTTCAAGACAGCAATCTTAGTCATCAAGCAAGCAGCTTTTGTAGTATAGTTGGTTATATGTTTGTAAAAGTACAAAATTGTAGGCATGTAGTACTAGGTTGTAGCTTCAACTTAGGCGCTAAGTATATAGGTATCTGGATATAGTTAGTAGCCTAACATTATTTCCTATTATTCTAGGAAGCCGAATATAGGTTCTAGACAAACTTGCTCTAAAAAGATTAATAATAGTATTAATTATAGAATGTTGCTACCTGTCCTATAGCTCTATCGGCCGTTTTAGTAACAAAGATTATCTAATCGGAGTATATAACTATAGTAGGTCTTCTACTCCTTTTACTACTCTATAAGATTAGACTAATTATTCTCGACTAGGATCCTACCTATATACTTCTTTATAGATCCTATAGATTTCTCCGTTCTAGTCGGTTCGTTTCTAGAAATTTAAAGTATAATTGTTAGTTTATGTATTTAAGGCATTCGCCGTTCCGACAACGATTTCTTAATATATATATAATTTTTACGATTAGGAATCAGTTCCTATAAATTAACGATACAAATTGCTAAACTTGTATATTAAATCTATACTTTAATTACAAGCTATCCTTCTCTAGAAGTAAATCGTCGGCAACTAAGATCTAATATAAGGTTAGTAGTAGACGAATCCTAGTACAAATTCGCTCCTTCTATATAACGATACTTAGCTATAACGCCTACGGACTAACTTTATTCTAGGACCGGACCTAGACCTCTTAATATATAGTCTAGCGGTATACGATATCTATACTGCTCGAAGCTAGTCTGTTCTAGCTATCGTCTAGATAAGATCTACTCTTTAGTTCTATAAGATTGTTTAGCATATAGCTATACGACGTATATTAAGGATCTAGACCTAGTCTCTTAATTCTATAAGACAAATCTAGGTATAATAATAGGAGGCGTTCTAGAAGAGGTAACGTTTTTCGGAGTTATAGCATTTATATTCTAGCGCTTTAGAATTAAGAGGATACGAAGACAGTAGGAGTATAAAGCCGAGGAGTAGGGGCCGAAGGCTTCTATTATAAAAACCGCCTCTCTAAGGAGTAAGGAAATTACCCTTAGACATAACTCTTCTAGCTATACAAGCAATCTTATTTAGATCTGCTATATACTAGAGGTTTTGGAAACATATTAGATAAGATAGCTTTCCTCTAACAAAGTCGGTTATTATCTAATATCTATCTCTATACCTATAGGAGAAGTACCGTACCTCTAATACGGCTCCTATTTATCTTGTAGCCTGTACCTTACCTATAATATAAGCAGATCCGGGACCTGTTATTAAAATTATAGAGTTACTATAGTAGAGTTATAACAAGGAATACTATACTAATCCTATACTACGCCTTACAACTAGCCTATCCTAGTATTATAAGCGATATATAATAGGGAAAGACAGTAGTCCTTCGCTTCGCTACGGAACTGCGTAGAGGGGCCTCTAGCGGCTACTATATAGAGCTTTTTTTCTTTGCGCCTACGGCGGGCTTTTTTTTAAGGTAGTAACGTATTGGGTCTAGTAGATTTAGCGCGCCCTACTAATAAAGATCGCGCTAATCAGCGTATACGCTCTCTAGGATTTCTAGCCCTATTCTATAGATTGATTAGCCTCTACTCCCCTCCTACGCCTAACCTACGCTACGCTTCGGAAGGCTAGGGAGGTCGTTCCGTGCCAATTATAAGCGATATATAATAGGGAAAGACATATTAGGCAGCGAAAGTATAAAGAGACTATTAGTAAGCCTACGGCGCGTCTAGGGAAATTGGAATACTTTAAAAGAAGTCTTGCAATACAAAAGAGCTTACGTAATTTGTTTAATAGTATAAGGAAAGGGAAACCCTATTTCTATTATTACTTAGATAACCTAATTTGACTCTTCTATAGAAGTATAAAGTTTACGATGTTTAATCCTCGAAAGTACAATATATATAAGAGAAGGAAGACCGTAGTGTCTTATTATCTTCCTAAAAAGCATACAAAATTATATTTTAGTAGAGGTTCGAGCAGTATACTAGTAGACATTCTATTTGCTATAGTTAAGTACTTCTCTTCTACTAATTTACATACCTGTAGTATTCCTACTACTTAAGGGACTTTACCCTTAGTTCCTCTTTTAAAATCTACTAAATTAAACCTACTTAGATTCTAGTCTATAATATAGACAATATCTAGGCAGAGTTATACTAGATCTTACTAACAATAGGGTTCGAGTAGCTTTTCCGGCAGAACGTCCTACCCTATATAAATTTGCCCTTTATATACAATATTATATATATTATACTTACTACTATATAGGTATCGCTAAAGGTCCTTGCTAAGATCGACTATTGCTCCGTTAATTAAGCTATCGGGAGTTGTAGGATCGCTTAACTAGTATCTAATACTAACGTAACTAGTACAACGGTTAACAACTATAGTACTATAACTCTTGCTAGAGAGTAGGTTAGTAAAGATCTTAATCTTGCTATAGTTAATAGGCGTAGGCTAAGAGTCCTCTAGCGTAGTAATACTATTAAATACTGTCTATAGTATTATATAGAAGCTATCCGGAGGTTTGATATTATATCTAAAAGTACATCCGTTGCTTTAATATACAGATACTATCTACCTCCGAGTACGTAGGAGGCCGTTCTAATAGGGGTTTAGCGATAGCTAAGATTAATAGAGGTATAAGATAAGCTTCCTGTCTGTCCGACTACGTCTCCTCTATACTTTAACTATTGTCGAAACGGCGGAAGGGGAGTGTCTCTACTAGATATAGTAATACTAGTTTCCAAGGGTATAGTATCGATAGGCTAGGGCTTAGAACCGATATAGGTAATTTTAGGCGTCGTTATAGGTAGAAACGATATAGTGTTTAAGGTTAACAATAATAAAGCTCCGTTAACATAATACTAATCTTATCCTAATATAGTCTACTAGTATCTAGAGCTATATATTTCTATCGAACTTAGCTCTCGTAACCTATAACTTCCTTCCGTACTCTTTAAACAAGGGATATAAGTATATACTAAAGAGATAGTAGCTAGTATAGAAGAGAGCTACTATTAACGTATAGCCGACGCTAAACATCTTTAGTATAGAAGCAAAGAATCTACCTATATATAAGATCTTTCTACCTTTATATATAACTTATATACAACCGAGGGCTAGATTCCTAGTTTCGGTTCTTAGGCTAATGTTAGACTCTATATAAGACGATTACTAGCCCGTATTATAAATTACAAAATAGACAACATCTCGGTTAGTTTCGAACAAGACTAGGAGACCTTATAAAAGAGCTTTAGGAATCGAAACGGACTAACAAAGACCTTATCGACTATATAGTAGGCTCTAACTTTAGTATTTTAAAACGAATAGTAGCAATTATAATAGTAGTTCTAAGAGAGGCTAAGAAGGAGAATTCTAGAGGTAAATATAACTATTATAACTTTCTAGGGCTAAATAAAGTTACTAACAAGATCAAGCTGTATAGGTTCTTAAGTATATAGTTCGATTTGCCGCTAGGAGAAGGACGCCCCCGGATCTGCAGTCGGATATAGGTACAGGAAACGAGCCATCGGATCGTAAAACTTCAGGGTGAGTCTCTTACTTCAATTGGGCGGCGACGAATATGGCATGATACATGTAGATATCAGCGCAAGGAACTTCTGTTCTGGGCTGAGAAGAAGGATCCGTCTGCTCATCAGGTGCATTATCAGTAATGTGCTGGATGTCAACATAGTGTTTCCGCTGATGCTTACAGAAGGCAGAACAGAGCTCCGCTTTTCTAGAAATTTGAATCATGTCATGCTCTTTTGCAAAGATCGCATTCATAGAAAGTCTGGTAGCTTTTAGGGTCCAACCTACCGAGACGCAACCTGTGCCGACACACATGCTGCTCGAGGCGGACTAGGGAGACATGGCTCGATGAAGGAGGCGACCTTGCGAACACCGCTGACGCCAGTGTTGTTCGATGCGCTCATGTCTTTACATACCATGCGAGGAGCGCACTGTAACAGAATCAGATTTCATCGATACTCAGGGCTACTAATGTGTCCAAAGTTGTCCAAAGTTCGACGAGCTACGAGATGGGAAATGGCATCAGTGCTACTCTTGATCGATTTGTGGCAAGCAGTGCTTCTCAAACCATTCACGAAAGTCAGTATGCGCCCAGTGGCAGACAAATTGCTGAACAGCGACAATTTGATAGACTCCCTTGCGATAGAGAGCATTTCCGATCTCGTCGAAAGTCCACACGACCTGTGTGCCAAGTTAGCATCGATATTCGTAGCCAAGGCACAAGTCATCGTACCGTCTTTGCGTCAGCACCTTGAGACGCAATGTAGAAGTCCCATCTTTCGCCTTCCACTATGAAGAGGGGCAGACACGGCAGAGGCTGCTGTGCTTGCCCGTTTGCCTCCAGCAATAGCCGCAGCCGCTTGAAGATAGCATAGGCCCAAATACCGAGCTGATACTCAGCCTTTTGAGGATCACCCCCATCCTTCTTCGTTTCTATGACTGACGCAAAGGGGCAATGAATTACATCTGCTGTTAAGGTCGGCGCCCAGCTTGGATCGTCAGCCCCTGGAAGTGGCTCGAGGAAAGGTAGGGCGGCTTGTAAACGCGGTGTCGGCTCCAAGACAATTGCATAGTCGGCTCGTGCAGCATCCGGGGGACGCATCGCAATTGGCGTCGGTAACAAGCATGCACGCGGGGCAATGTCCGCTGACTTGACGTTCTGCCAGCGCACATGTGCTGCGTCTGCTGAATATCTGCAAGCAAGCTGACCGATAGGCACATGGCTCACGTCGTTCCACACGTCTTCAGACGCAGTCTTCCGATTCTTACAACGCGTGGTGTCCTGCCGTATTTCCTCGACGCGTGTCAGTGGTGGGGCCTCTCCAAGCTCTTGTCTCACTCCCGAATCATCGAAGCAACAGTCATGCCCAAACTCATCGCGCCGGTCATCACGTTGAACTTCCTCTTGCATTGCACGGGGCAGAAGCCGTCGACCACGCGCGTAGTCTTTGACGCGATCCCACATGTCCTGGACATGAGCTGGCGGCTGAGGCTCTCCACTATACGGGTCTTGTTTCACGTACACGATTGGGTCAGGGAGGGCTGCCAGTGTCGTGAGCTTCCGAGGGCTGGTGGAGCGACTTCGGGCTGAAGTGGTGGTACTGTGCCTGGAGGACGTGGCGGGGAGCTCAGGCACGTTTTGCAATGGTCCTGTCGAAGCTTCATGTTCCTCATGAGGTGATTCCCGACCACCTCTTCGTCGCGAGGACCTCCGCGGCAGGCGTAGCGCGTTGGGTGTCGTATCGTTGAGCGGTATCCTCTCATCGGCACGACCTCTTCCTCGTCCTTTTGACGCAGGTATCGCGCGTACTCGTACTGCTCTGTTGCTACGTCCTACGTACCTATGACCTTTGGCGAAGCGCTTCCGAGGCGAGGTTGCTGTGGCTTCGGCCTTGCGTTTCTGACCTTGACTGCTCTGGAAGGGCTCTTGATTCTCAACTCCGAGGAGCCAGGTGGTAACAGCTGATTGACAAGATTGAGACATCGAGTCTACATCACCATAAGCTGTTGCGGAAACTGCTGATGTTGGATACTGGAGAGCGCATCAGTTTCGCATTCAATTGGCAGTTGTCAAAGGATTTTTGTTGACGCGCTCGGTCTGGCATCGGCCCGAGCTTTCAGAAACATGACGTAACTCTCACAGTAGTCTTCGCAATTCAAAGTTTCCAGTTATGATACATGCTTTGTTCGATCAAGTGTCTGAGGCAACGATTAGATATAGTAGAAAAACTCGGAACTATCGAAAACTAGATACATGTACCTTACTTCATGTCTCCGTTCAGACGCTCTCTCTTTGATATGACGTCAAACTTTCGGAGCGGAGATACTACTACCCGGACCGCTGCGCTTTTCAAAGAGGTATACACTCATTTCTGCAAGTGTGCCGCTGCCACCTCGGTCCTTGATAAGTGATGGATTCGTTGGATTGCTTCGTTCTATATCATCCTGCCAAGCATGCAAGGAACTCTGTAACGTGATATCTATTTACTTTAAAACGGTGATCTTAGTCATCAAGCAAGCAGCTTTCGTGGTGTAGTTGGTTATCACGTCAGTCTAACACACTGAAGGTCTCGAGTTCAAACCTCGACGAAAGTAACGGTCTGGGTATATTCAGTTTCGTTGTTCCGGTTGTTTACTCAACTCAGCTTGTACTTTTATTGTTTTCTCTCTCTTTTTCATTTTCCGGTTGTTACTCAACTCAGCTTGTACTTTTATTGTTTTCTCTCTCTTTTTCATTTTCCGGTTGTTACTCAACTCAGCTTGTACTTTTATTGTTTTCTCTCTCTTTTTCATTTTCCGGTTGTTACTCAACTCAGCTTGTACTTTTATTGTTTTCTCTCTCTTTTTCATTTTGACTATCATTCTGGCTACTATCTCACTCGGATGTCGGTCATGACGGTCATGTCAGCCCCAGACCACAGCAGTCTTATGGTTTGCATTTCGTTGTTCCGAACATCCTACCCGGCAACACTGCAAGGACACTGTTGGTAAAGCTTTTCACGCCGGCATATTGGTGGCCCTTGGGAGTGTGAATCTCATCTATTGGTGTTGCTCGTGATGTCGCCTCGTCAATGATAGATCGGCCAGGTCAGTGATGTCAGTGTAATCTTCACCATCATATGAACGCGCCCTTGGACACAGAGAGGTACGTGGAATTTCCAAAAGCTCGCAAAGATAATTGATTACGATATGACCGCCGCGGAGACTGCTCTAGGTTACGTATTATATGAGGTTCATTCACTAATAACAGAACTTCACCGGTCCAGATCTGAAAAGAAACTGACATTGCGAGGGATAAGCTGTAGGCGCTGAAGGAACCAAGAGGTGTGGTTAGCGCAGCAACACTTTCAAATAGTCGAGGGAGGGCATTGCACATACCTCTGCTCGCCGTAGGGCTAGATGGCGCGGATGGTACCTGCATGGGTCAGCACTGGTGGGAACTAGGTAGGTACCAGGTACGGCTTCTTTCGCAGAGGGTAATTACCAAAGTAGTTCTAGTCGAAGACACTAGTGTGGTGGCAGCAGGCACTGGTGTGCTCACTGGTGTACTCGCAGCAGGCACTGGTGTGCTCACTGGTGTACTCGCAGCAGGCACTGGTGTACTCGCAGCAGGCACTGGTGTGTTCACTGGTGTACTCGCAGCAGGCACTGGTGTGCTCACTGGTGTGCTCGCAACAGGTACTGGTGTGCTGGCAATAGGCACTGGTGTGCTGCTGGTGGTGGTCGTGAGTCTACTGGTGGTAGTCGCTGATGTTCTGGTGGAAGACACTCGTGTGGTGGTGAACACGGGGGTCGCCGCTATTCTGGAAGCGTACGCGGCGTTAACCGTGCCTCCCCCGTACTCGGACGGGGTACCATATCTATTGTGTGAATCGATGTCAGTGTGATGTCTTCACGTGGCGAGCTGTCCGTGAGCTGTCCGTGAGCTTTCTTACTTGAAGTAGCAGTCGATTGCGCCCGGGACGTTGTCCGGCGGAACGTCATAACCATTTGGAGACACGTATGAGAACATGGTGCAAGGGTTAGTCGCGGTGAGGTAACCGTTACAGCCTGATAAAAGTCAACAGATGTCCCCGCCCATGGCAATACCTTTGATACTTCTCCGCGAACGAGCGAGCCTTTTCATACATACCTATCATGCAATCCGTCATGTTCGTGCCTCCATACAGCGGTGATCCTGTGTCGGAGGCCGAGATATCGAACCCACAGCGCACCAGCCATGGATAGCCTTGGCTGTCGATGAAGGTGGTGCTATTATAGTACGGGCACGGAAGTCGAGGTGTTCCATTGCTGAGAAGTTGCGCACCGGCGTAAACGCTGGAGTTGGAGGAAAACTGGCCAAGGTCCATTCTGAAGTAGCACCTGCCAACCCCGGAAGTTCCAGCTGTGAAGAACGATTAGCACACGGTCTCTCTCCCATTCGGAGTGTAGAGGGCGCACTTGTCTGGTACCCTATGTAGCTCCATCCTCTACAGGTTGGTCTGTTATCGCAACCTGCATATCGATGTTCTCTTGTCAGTAAGTGTTCTTTGCGCCAGGCTGACCGTCAGTGCTCCCATACATACCTTTCGAACAACCATACACCCCCTGATTAGAGGTGCCAGCCTGGTCGTACACAAACCCATTGCTGTCTTGTTGACAACGAATGGCGTATCTCGCACCGTAAGGGTCATCGTAGTATCCATTGGGATCGGCCTGGTTCGCCAGGCCAAGCGTGCATCCGACATTGTCTGTTGTGCCTCCCGTAGCCGCTGCGATATTCCATGTCTGCGTAGGAGTGTACGTTTGAGCATTGGCCAATATCACGAGCGCCAGGGATATGGCGACCCATTTGCAGATTCTCGAAGAGAATTGCATCATGGTCAGTCTCTAGGAAGACAATGTTGCGATGTTTGCAGTAGAAATCAAGGTGCTCGAATGAATGAGAAAGAGAGAGAGAATATCGGACTGGCGTACCGCTAAGGCCTGCCAGTCAATAATCTCTCATGATGATATGTCTACAATCCGACCCACAATCCGAGCTTGCTGCCGGGACTAGCATTGTGCGGCGTTGAAACGGGAATGTAAGAAAGATTGCATGTCAGATATGCGAGGTCGTTAATCCGCAGCATTCCTCTTCGCAGCCTCATCGCTCGCCTTTTGATAATCCGTCCTCGATATGTAAATGCTCTCGAGGGCAGCTACTATTCCCAAACCAACGGCAGGGCCAATCCAGATACCCACCAAGTCAAAATGCAAGCCAAATCCCAGAGCAAAAGACAATGGCAAAGCGATGGCATAGTACGCGAACAGGTTGATATAACCTCCAATTTCCTGTTTGCCCAAACCTCGTAATATACCATTGCACTGGGCCGCTAGTGAGTCGACGAGCTGGAATGTCGCGCAGACGGGCAGCGTTGCGGCTGCTAGAGCGACCACGTCCGGTGCGCTGGAGAAGAGGCGGGGAAGGTAGTTGCGCAAAGAGGACAAGAGTACCACGTTGAAGACACCCAGGACCACGCCGATAGCAAACGTTACTTTGGTGGTCACTTGGGCAGCGCCTGGTAATCCAGCTCCGATCAAGTTCGCCGTGCGTGTAGAAGCCGCAATCGAAAGTGGGAAAGGCAGCTGATATGTCAGAACAGATAGACTCTGCAGCACGGTGTTCGCGGCAAGATGCGTGGCGCTGATTCTCGCAGAAGCCAATGTCAGGATTTCAAAGGCAAGAAATTCGGCCAATACCATAATGAGTCCTGGAAGTGCCAAACGCACCATGGGGCCCCAATTTTTGAATGCCTTGCGTGTGAAGCCAGGCCAGCATTCCATTCCGCCCACGAAGCGCACATAGAAGAATAAGAGGATGGGCATGAGACATTCTGTGATGGCCACGGCGATTGGACAGCCTATAAAGCCCCATTGAAAATGCCAGACGAACAGATAGTGCATCAAAACATTGAGGGGGGCAGCGATCAGCAGCACATACAGAGTAGCGGCGAATCGCCCTTGGGCTTGCACATATCGCTTTGCAGCCTCAAAAGCCGCGTATCCTGGGGCACCGATGACCAGTACTCTCAGGTATTGTCCTGCCAGGACAGCAATTTCTTTTTCCGGAACAATCACAGAGAGAATTTGTTCTGCCGACAGCCAGATGATGGCAATGGGAATCGTGATGCTCCAGAGGAAGAATACCATGCGCTGGAGTTGGAGACCTACGAGTTTCTTCTTGCCCGAACCATACGCCTGCGCGCAAAGCGTGTCTAATGATGTGGCGAGACCGTGGTAGACGGCGTAACCCGTGATGTTGGCGGTCATGGACCCGAGGGAGACGGCGCCGAGCTCGTTCTTGCCTATGTGGCCGACGGTGAAGACCGAGGTCAATGTTAAGCTGTTTTGAAGAATGAAAGTCAGTATCAGAGGCGCGGAGTATCGGACCAGAGTCTTCATTTCGCGCTGCCAGGTGGTCTGAATTTGGCCCTTCAGCACCGCTTCCTCCCACTTCTTCGAGATGTTTTCCGGGCTGTCTTGGCCGCCATACGGGAGGAAGAGGTGGTGGTGGTCGTCGGCTCCTTGCTGCTGCTGGGCGAGAAGGGCGGTAGTCTCGGTGGCTTGCCCTCCTGCCGCCGCCCTCTCTGCATCTGTATCGACAAGCCCGCCGCCGCCGCTGCTCTTTCGTCTGCTGTCCTTCCGCCGGGGGTGTTTGGGCGGAATGATGTTGTTGTCGCGGAGCAGACTCCTCTCCTCGCTAATGGCAGCCTCCCAGTCTTGGTCCAGCGGCACGCACGTTTCCGGCTGCTGTGAGCCCAGAAACGGTCTCGACGTCGGGGCGATGTACGACGGGCGTCTGTAGTAGCCGGCCATGGAGTGGGCGCGCAAGCTGGGCACATCGTGTGTGTGTGCGCGACTGAGGGCATTGCCGTCGTCGGCGGCGTCTTCGTCGGCGAAGTCATCGTCCTCGAGGTCTCGGGAGATGGACTCTTCGGCAATGGCAATGGCAGCAAGGTGCGACTGGGAGCGGTAGGAGGCGCCGATGCTGCGAGACGTGGTGGGTGCAATGGGCGACTGGCTGCGACGGCGGGAGGATGTGATTGGATGGGACATGGTGATGGATGCTGAAGGTAAGGTACCTGTAGTCTTTTCGAACCACTACCTGGACCTGTACGTGACTGCCGGACGCATGTAAGTACATGTATACCAAAAGATGGCTAAGGTATGAACCTGAGAGGTAGGCATGCAAAGGCCCGTGGTTGTGGCACACTCGAGACTGTCCCCTGGGGCATATGTACTATTGATAAGTGGCGAAACAAGGCGAGCACACGAGGAGTTAGTACATGGAGCCTAGAGGTACCTAGGTAGGTACATAGTCTACCACCTGTCGCAATGCGGAAGTCGTTGCCGATACACACACATGCCATCACCCGATGTCATCATCTACCTTAGGGTTCGAGAACGAGGCCTTCCTTAGGGTTGCCTATTTCCCGTGGGATTTTCTATGCTTCTCTCTCTCCCTCCCTCTCCCACGGCGCCAACAAACCCCAATGAACGTAGCGACGGCCGATCTAACCCATGTGTGACGGCGGCGGAGCGGACGAATTGTGGAGATTGGGAGAAGCGAAGGTATCAGAAAAATGCCCATGGAAAATACATTGCACCGTGAAATTGGGCTGTGCTGTGGCCTCGCATCATCGTCATGCTATCAATGGCAGTTCTGAATCAAAACATTGACCCCTTCCGTTCCATACATCGGACATTCCAGGCAGGATCTGCATCTCTGCCTGTCGATACTATACCACCAACATCTCCCGAAACTCACACCCGTCGCTTCACGAGTCCAATCATGACATTATTGTCTGCCATCCCTTCCCAACCTCTCCTCTTCATCCTCCACCAACTCATATGCCGGTCGATATCTCACCACGCCTTGTTCATCATCATCAGTACTACTCCCATTCGACTTGATCGCCAACGCCGGGTTGGGATGCGTGTCATCTGTCCCTCCCAAGCTCGTATATCCCATATCATACAATTCACAATACTCTACTCCCACCCCTCGCACGAAACTCCATATATCCGCATAATGCCAATCAATGACCGGATGTATCCTCACAAACTCGGGCCACCCGCCATCCGTGGGATCAAATGATGTCAATTTCGCTCCATGGGGATCCGTACGTCGTGTGCCAACGAAGATGGCTTGGATTTGAGGATGGTCTTGGAGGTAAGATGCAAAGGCTTCTCGCATAGGCTTGTGGTATTGCTGGAGCGAGAGGTGGTATTTCTTGGCCGAGTGATGGACGAAGGACGTTACTGCCGGGAAGGGGTTGGGTGTGACGATGTAAACAGTTTGAAGAGTCGAGGGGAGGCGGTAGGAGGAGGTGGACTTGGTGGAGTGGGTGTGGAGGGCTGCGAGATAGAGGATGAGCAGGACGAGACAGTCTTTGCCGCCGTTGTAGCTGAAGGAAAGGTGGTCGAGGCTACGATGATCATCAATCAGTCAGTACAGACACTCACACACACACACACACACACACAACCCCCTTCCCCCTTCCTCATATATGCAGCGCGCGCAGCGAGCTGCTGAGCTCCGGCAGAACACACCTATATCTCTCCAATGCCTCTTCAATCACGTCCAAAGACTCCCTCGTCGTGCGCTGTACCTGTCTCAACCGCGAGTTACTCTTCGCATCCTGGCGCAGAAAGGCGTCGACCCGGGCATGGACATTCTTGCACGCATCGCCGAGGTCGTGATACACATGCTCCTTGTCCGTCGTCACCGCGGCGACGCCATTGCTCTGCTGCATCCTCTGCGATGATGATGATGGTGATGATGATGATGACGACGGCGACGTCTCATTCCGGGCGAAGTCGGTGGGCATGCCCGGCCGCGGGCACGAAGAGATGCTCCTCTCGTGGTTGCTAGCGATATGGGGTCTACGGAAGTGTGATGGTGATAGGGCGAGGGCGGTGCGGGCAGATCGGAACATTGAGAGACTACATGTAGAGTCTGGTAGCGGGCTGTCTCTCGCTGGTCTAGCGGGCTGGCTCCTAGGAGGTCAGGTACATGTAGGCGGCGGGAATCAGTCAGTGGTGGCGACGTTGACCGATGAAGAAGCCGAGCCGGTCTATCAAATCCACCACTGCAGATGGAGGGGCGGCGCGGGGATGTCAGTCCCACTTGATGCTCGTGCGTCGGTACATGGTACCTGCGCATGCCGACGAATGGGAAACATCAAGGTACAATACACGTATTATATATAATGTAGGTACATTATTACAGTACATACCTTAAGGTAGGTACCTATATACTGGTGACTGTATACATAATACATGATATGCAAGGTACATCGATCATCACACAGGCTATCGTTTTTGATCAAGCCCCAGTCTCCCCACGACCCATCTTCCCAATCGGACACTGGGCGCATCGAACACAACCGTTCCGACGTGCCCACACGCAATGTTGAGGGGGAGGATGAAAGCCTGCGCAACAAGGAATCTGGTGGTAAACCCATGAATGCCGAACTCGGGTATGGGAAATCTCTCGTCCCACATGGTGGTCATCTCAGGCATCGTGATGTGTCCAAAAAAGCGGTATATCCGGTCGCCCAACGTCCACATGATCGGGCCATGCACCAGATATAGCGCAAAACTGATCTTGCCCAAATACTTCAGCGGCCTGCTCGCGAAGAATCGCTGCAGCCAGGTGATTCTCAACACTCCATAGACGACTAGAAAGGCCCCCCAGACATGCCACCAACGCCAGTATTCCTTATCCGGGTCATCATAGTATATCGGAGGAATGAGTTGTGTCAAAAGCCACCATCCCGGTGTGTCCGAGGAGACTTGCGTATCCCTCATGCCGGCCGTTTGGCACAGAAGATACCACCCGGAAAAGAAGGCAATATGATGCAGCGTCTTCTTCGCTCGCGCCGAAAGTTGCATTCGCGCGGTCGGCACTGGTTCTTTCAGATCGTTCATCGCCAGAAGTATGCCTGCCATGAAACATGCCATTGCCCATTGATACATGAGCAGGAGAGCAACATACATGAGCCCATACACCACGGCGCGCATTCTCATCGAGACGTGTCCAGAAATGGCCACAGCAGAGAAGATCAGACAGGAACCCACGAGTTCCACGGGAATAGTATAAACGGGAGGATCATATATGAACCAATGGGCGAGGACATCCGGTTTGGTGGAAGGTTGGAGCGCGATCAAGACTTCATACATCCAGGATTTCATCTCCAGCCAGAGTGTTTCTTTCGGTGCCGGCCACGCTAATTGAGGCGCGAGTCCCAAAGGTAAATGAAGACCAATGACAAAGGCCCCACTCACGCCGATGACGGGGAGGTAGAGACGTATGGGACGTCTGATGACGCTGGAGATGAGGGCGCGATATGTCTGTTGGACGTGGCCATCTCGGAGTTGGCGGAGAGGCGACAAGGAAAGGACATAGCCGGACAGAACGAAGAAGATAACCACTCCCGCATTTCCTCCCGTCAGGAGGAGCCGTATAAACGGAAGTTGGAAGAAGTAGTGGTTTCCATTCGCGCCCCAGCCATTGATGATGTCGTCCGTGGGACCGAAGTACCAACTGACGTGGTGGTAGAAGTAGACTAACAGTGCCGCCAGTCCGCGGAGACCATCCAGGTATACAGTATTCTTCTTCTTCTGCTTATTCTTCTGATCCAGCAGTGTCTCGTTCTGATGCGTGTTGTTCAGACTGTTCGATGGTGCCAGTGGATCATCTCCTTCTGCTATATCGTCCAGAGTCGCAGGCAGAGTCTTGTCTTCCCAGTCGTCCAGCTCGACATCGGGTTCTAGAGGAGGTGTCATGTTTGCACTTGGGCCTACCCGTCATTTGGATAGTGGTCCAGCAGCTGCTATTTCACCGGCTCGCCCGCCGTCCTGTGCGCTCTGACATGTTGGAACAGTTGGATGCTTGTCTTGAACTCTTGGATGATGTCCAATTCTAGGGGGGTGGAACTCAATACCTGCCCGTGACCCCGTGTCAGTGATGTCCAAACTCTAAAATAAGTAATTAGTAATTACTTTTACTTTTACTTTTACTAATATAGGTCATAAGTAAAATACGTTACTAATACTAATTACTAACGGAAGGTCGTAAGTAAAAGTAAAAGTAAAAGTAAAAAGTAATACTAATTAGTAAATACATTTACTAATTAGTAACGTAAGTAGTAACGTAAGTAGTATAGTATAGTATAGTATAGTATAGTATAGTATAGTATAGTATAGTATAGTATAGTATAGTATAGTATAGTATAGTATAGTTTCTATACTTCTTTATATTATTTATATAGTTAGTTTTATATAATATACTACAATATACTTAAGTTTTATCTAGATATATATAAGTTCTATAAAGACAAGAATACTCTAGTATAGATAGTAGTAAGAGAGATATACTATATTATTATATAGTATACCTTAGAGAATAGCGGCAACGTATAGAATAGATATAGATATAGATATAGATATATATCTATAACTAGAATAGATAGATAAATGCTATACTACTAGTATATAAGTATATAGAGTAGCTATCTCTTATATTAATCAAATATACTAATATTATATAAATATAATTCTATTAAGGCTATTAGAGCTATAGATAGCTTATATATATAATATATCCTCTACTTACTATATATTCCTCCTAAACTACTTATGTTTTATAAATATATAGGTATTAGGTATATATAGCCTAGATTAGTAAAATTATCGTTACTATTTTACTTTTACTTTTACTAATTACTAATCCTCAAAGGTTATAAGTAAAAGTAAAAGTAAAAGTAAAAGTAACTAAGGGATTAGTAAAAAGTAATTACTTATTAGTAATTACTTTTACTATTTTACTAAGGTTTAGACATCTCTGCCCCGTATTACTAACTTACTACGGCCCGAGGCGCGATACGGTTTCTCTTGGCGCAGCTGTGCCTAGTATTATCATTTATATATATAGTATGCAAGAATAAATTTAATGTCTCTTCGCTGCCTATCTTTGCGATCGGCTATTTCCGATTTCGCCTCGAGTCGACCGGTACTACCTTCCCTCCCTAGGTACAGTATAGTAGGTACAGTACAGTAGGTACATATATAGTTCTTATTAATATGTTCCGTAGCAAACGACCGGTTCCTATCGTAGCTATCTACTGCCCCGACGCAATATCTACCTTCCTCTAGCGTAGGAAAGGAGCAGGAAGATAGCTTAACCGTACTAGCTCTAGATTGCCGGATAGGATTACCCGGGTAGCGGCGAATTGATATACGTCGAGGATCTATCTATAGTACGGATATTCGTACTATATAATTAGGCGGTATTAACAACGACGACTAGGATGAATTAACGCTAATATGCTCCCTCTAGGTACTAGTCTGCTAGTGCCGCTAATGTAGAATACGCCGTCTCTAAAGCCTACGAGACATTTCGCTCTAGTGTCTAGTCGAGATAGAAACGTTACTATCGTACAGATATGCTAGAGAAGGCCGCAGAGCTGCTAACTACTAACTTACCCGATCTTATCGCATTAGAGGTCTAGCAGACTAGGCGTACTATCCGAGAGATAAAGGCCTAGGTGCCGTTATTAGGTAGGTAAGTTCGCTATAATAATAGCATACCGGATAATAGCTTATTACAGAAATAACAGTAAAGTGGTTCAAGTACTATGCCGCACTTATACGGACGGAGGAGCGACCGGTCCTACCGACTACTAGTAAATTATACAACTAGGTAGATAGACGTCTACTAGGAGTAGTTGTCTAGATTACCCCTTTTAACTACCCGCTTCTGATTGCAGTCAAGAAAATCGCCCTAGCTCTAGCCGTAGGCAATTGTATAATACTTAAGCCTTCCGAATTAACTCTAATTACCTCTCTCGTACTCGGAAAACTGCTCAAGTAGGCCGGTTTGCCGGACGGCGTCTTCAACATTCTGCCTAGGTACGGCGCAAGCACCGGCAAAGCTCTAGTATCCTATCTACTAATTAAAAAGGTCGATGTTATAGGGGGTACTCCCTTAGGAAGAGCGATCGGCGCTGTCGCTAGAGGTAATCTAGCTAAGTTTATAGCCGAATTAGGCGGCAAAGCGCTAGTTATTGTAACTAGCAACGCTAACCTAGATCTCGCCGTCAATAGGGTAGCCTTTGCGTCCTTTGTAGCAAGCGGACAGATATATATAGTAGCGACACGAATTATCGTATATTACCTCGTAATAGACTTATTCGTAGAGAAGATTGCAACTAAAGCAGAGTCAATTAGTCGCCGGATAGGGGCGCCGACGAATCTAGAGTCGACTATAGGACCGATTATTTTATAGAAGCAATTCGATTATATCTCGAGATTAGTCGAAGATGCTAAGTCGACTAGGCTAGAAATCGTAGCGGATAGAAGTCGTATGTTAGGACGGTCTACTATTAACGACTTCGACTTTACCCCCGGTTATTTCTACCTACCTATAGTTCTTGTATATCGTACAGGTATTAAAACTATCTAGGAGTACCGAATCTAGAGAGAAGAGGCGTTTGGACTAGTTATTATTATTACCTCGTATACTACCGAAGACGAAGCTCTCGTACTTACGAATAACAGCGAATTCGGGCTCGGTACTACCGTCTAGACGTAGGATCTTTCGGAAGCATATTAGCTGTTAGAACGAATAGAGTCTAGAATCTGCTAGGTTAATACGTATTACCGAAATAATCCGAGCAGTCCTTAGGGCGGGACTAGTAGCTCCGGAGTAGGAAGTAAGAATAGAGTCGATATATATTACGCGTATACGACTACTAAAAGCACTATTATTAATTATGTAGACGAGAGGGAGGTAGAGACGGAGGACTAGTTTAGAGAGGGGAGTAGTAGGCTAGTACGATACGGCTAAGTAGTCTACATTAAGGTCTAGGAGGTAGGTAGGATAGTATATATAATATTAGGACCGTACCTCCTAAAGGGTAGATACCTTTTACCTCCCGGTAGTAGGAGGTATGTTAAGATGCCTTAGGTATATGTACCTAACATGAATTATAGGAGGTACCTATAGGTATATGTACGGTGTACTAGGTAAAACATGAAAACTAGTCCTATGCCAAGCACCGATACTTTCTAGGCTTCTTTCTAGGCTTCTTCGTAGGCTTCTTCGTAGGCTTCTCTATTTTTCCTAGGTATCTCTATCTCTATCTCTATCTCTACCTCTACCTCTACCTCTACCTCCTCCTCCTCCTCCTCCTCCTCCTCCTCCTCCTCCTTGTCCTTATCCTTGTTCTTAGGCTTCTCTTCTTCTTGTCATTCTCTTTTAAATCTTAGATAAGGTAGCCTATAGGGATAGGTAGGTAGGTAGGCAGGTAGGTAGGTACTTGATATATAGGAAGTATTCAAGGCCAGCCGGAGCGGAGGTTAATCCGCGCCGAGGCTTCCGAGTGTCCTTTCAGATCGTCCTGCCCCTTGACTCTTGCCAGCCGGCTTACCTTATTTACTCCTCCCTGTATGACAATCACTCGCCAAGTCGCCGATGCCGAACATCTCTCGGTCTTATCAGTACATAACATGCTTGACTTGAGAGATCCACTGCCCGTTGACTATATCTTATAGGAGAACCGGAGTGGGCGAAGTCTGGTCGCTACACGAGCTTTACAGAGCTTGACCTGACTCCAGAGGGCGTTGCACAGGTGTTTTCCACCGCGGCACTGCTCGTAGGCAAAAGCAAACTCATCGACCCGCACCGCCTCGCGCCCGTTGTTGCCAGCCCGAGAACAAGGGCTAGGACGACCTTGAAGCTTTTATTCTCCGCCGATATTATCGAAGAGACAGTCATCTTCACCGAAGACATTACGGAGGAGTGGAATCATGGTGCTTACGAGGAGTTGAAGAAGAAAGAGGAGATTCTACGTCTGAGGAAAGACAAGAGCTTGAAGAACGATCGAGAGTGAAATGTCTGGTCAGATGGCGGTGAAGGCGGAGAGCAAGGTGCATAATGGATCATTTCATGAGTATGGTCAACTGCTACCCGTCTGACAAGTTTCTGGACACCTTGGGCGGTATTCAGTGTAGGACGACTGTTCCGCGAGCGCTTTTTGGGCACGGCACGGTATGGCAACTGGCCTCTCCGAGACGGCAAGACATAGGATCCATGTCCCTGTCAAAGTGTTCTTTGTGCTGTCGGCGGAGTGATCAACAGCTCTCCACAAGATGCTCATGCTACCACATATCGGAGCTGCGAGGAGTACTATACCCAGGCCTCAGCTAGCATATAGGTGGGACTTTCGCGATGGTAGAAGTGATATGCGTGTTATCACTCTCGTCTCCCGGCTCACTGACATTTTCAGTGCACCCTCCCTACATGAGCAATCTGCTCTTGGTTTGACTGCGTCGAACATCGAGTGGTACGTAACCTTACCACTCCCCTGTAGTGACTTCATTTAAGGCAAGTTACAGAGTGCCATCAAAACAGATTTACAGATGGTTTTCGAAGAGGTTGTCAGAGAGACTATGCACAGCGCTTCGACGATGTCGTCAATGCGAATGGTGATTACATGTACCTGATACCAGACTAGAATAGACGGCGAATCGGAGCCACATCTAACTTTCCACTTCCGGCGACATCCGCGCGAAGTAGAAATGTGTGTGGTCGGTCCATTAAGGTCGTCTGTCTCGTCCACCAAGTCTATATAGACCTCACCTGCCCTCCTACATCCTTTGATACCACTTCTTGTGCCTTCGTGTAGCGACTCAATCGATTGCCCTTCCTCGAGATACCGGTTGGTAGGGCATGTCGCTGGACTTATTAACTCTAGTCAGACTAGTTCTACTCGTTTCTTAGCCTACAACACGATCACCGGTGACAACGCCGACCATGGAGACCGCAAATACGCCATAGGATGATGATACCATATGTGCGATACCGCTATCCCAAAAATCTCGCAAGCACGGCAGTCAGTAGCATCAGTAAGTTGTCATCACTGCAGTCGAATTGCTACAAGGGGCAATTCCGACTACTCCCGGGTCAGCTCTTTAACTACTTTCCTCTGCGTTCCTTTGGCTTCCGGCCAAGCACGTCTCTGCGTCGACGTACCACCTCCACCAAGGATGTCTTGGCAACTTTGCCGCTATGCTTCCGCAAATCCCCTCTTTTGTATGCTCACAGCGTGAGGGAGTCTGTCCTATGGGATGAGATCCTGTATCCTCTATCCTGGAAGATGTTGCCAGAGCTCTCAGGTTCCGGGAGGTGTGACGCTGCAAGACCCCGCTTGACTGGCATTGATCCATGCATGAAAGGGTGAGACTGCTCATAATATATAAATTCGCACGCAACTCCTCGAAAAAGAAAGGAACGCCTCTGCACCAATATCCTTCAAACTCCCTCTTCCTTTCATTCAGACCGCTGAACCAAAGACGCCCAAAAAACATGTCTTCCCTCAATCTCCACCCCGCTATCAACAATGGCCTGACCAAGGGTAGCACAAGCTTCAATGGCGGCACGCTGCAATGCCACTGCGCATCCAACAAGGTCAAAGTCCAAATCACCGGCAACGTTGCCCACAACCACGCCTGCGGCTGCTCCAAGTGCTGGAAGCCCAAGGGAGCCCTCTTCTCCATTGTCGGAGTCGTCCCAGTCGACAACGTCAAAGTCGTCGAGAACGGAGCCAAACTCTACATCGTCGACTCCAACGCCGCAATTCAACGCAACGCGTGCAAAGAATGCGGCGTGCACCTCTTTGGCCGAATCGTGAAAGACCACCCTTTCAAAGGCCTCGATTTCATCCACGTCGAACTCAGCAATGAGCAAGGCTGGCAAGAGCCGCAATTCGCCGCTTTTGTGAGCAGCATTATCGAGCAAGGGTTCGAACCTAGCAAAATGGATGAGGTGCGAGGCAAATTCAAGAGCCTCGGGTTGGAGTCGTACGATTGCCTCAGTCCTGCTTTGATGGATTTGATTGCGGCGTTTACGGCCAAGTCAAAGTAAGTTGTGCTGTGCCCCCCCTCTTCTTCGCGCGCGTACCCTACCACTATGTGGGTTGCCGGTCCGTGGGCTGAGTAGCGCGCAAAAAGGCTGACGAGTGCGCACAATCAGGTTGTAGATCAAGAAGAGAGGAGACAAGATGATGAGCAGACCCAAGAGATGAATGTTCGTGGGTGGGGTCTCTTGTGGAAATGGCTAGGTATCGTCAAGAAGCAAAAGTCGATGCAATCTAGGCTGTAACTCTATCATGTTTGGTCATCAGAGAGAAAAACAAAAATGCAACAATTAATAATGATGTCTGTGTCCGAGTGATGTCTCTCCAGGTTTCTGTGTGAAATCAGCACTCGTTGATTATTTCCGTCGCCAGCTTAGGTAGATACCTACCTACCTCAGGTAACCATTCTACCTGCTAGTAGAGCACATCTGGTGTCTACTAATACACCCTTAGGTAGGTACAAAAGGCGCACATCCATTGTCGTACTGGGGACGAGGAAATAGGAAGCTCTGAACCTAGCAAGAGGCCAAATCTTCGTTTTCGGAAACTTCCTCCTAGGAACTCCGATTTGAAATCTTAGGCTTCCTAGAGCGCGTTCGCTTGTTCCTTATAGCTTCTAGCCAGAAGCTAACGCTAATCAAACTCTCGCTCTTAAATGTAGGCCGTTATAGCTGAAGCTATAAGCCGGGGGTATTCGCTTTCTATTCTTATAAGAAGTTATAACTAGGCCTTATTATAGGTACAACCTACCCTAGTAGGTATATAGGATAGGTTAGGTATTAGCAATACCTAATAGGTATAGGTATTTAGCTAGGTATACCTAACCTATCGGGTTAGGTACAAACCTAGTAGGTATTACGATACCTAGTAGGTATTACGTACCTATTAGGTATTGAATCTTCGTATATAGAAATAAAAAACCTAGAAACCGGGTACTCTAACGAGAGCGAAGAAGCGATTTATTTAGACTAGGTATAAGAAAAGAAACTGTATATAAACCCGATATAGATACGAAAGTAAAGATTATAGTTAAATTAAATAAAGAAACTTAGGATTATATATACGCTATACTATAAGTTGTAATATTTTGAATCTTAAGAAATATAGTCGGCAAATATAGTCGGTAGGTAAACTTTATACAAGCTTAAAGCAATCTCCCTATAATCGTCTCGTAGTATCCCGGAGGTACTTCTACGTAAGCTTGAAACTTAGGCGTACTAATCGCCTTAGCTCCTCTACTATATTACCCTCGTTATCGCTAATCGTATCTAAGTTACTAATCCGTTCTATAAGATCTTTCGTCTACTCTCGGTCTTTACTAAGGATCTTCTATAAAGTTAGAGTACTAAGAAGCGCTTAGGAAACCTCTATAGCCTTCTAGGCGATAAGAATTCTAGTATCGTACTTATCGTCCCGATAGCGAAAACGAGAAACTATTAATCTAGAGAATATTAATATAGTATATTAGCAATTAAAACGACTTTAGTATCGAGCGATACTAAAATCGCGCTTATACCTAACTCCGGCGGTAGGAATATAGAGAATATCCCGCGCTATTAATACGAGAGTAGGGTACTTAGACTCTATTAAAGACTACGTCTTTAGTACCTCGAATAGATCCCCTTTATCTATATTAGCGTCTAAATAGTCGGCGAGCTCGTTATCCTCGTTAGTACTACGTCTTTAACTTTAAGAAGACTCTATACTCCTACTAAGAGTAAAGTCGATATAGCCTTTATACCGACTCCTTCTAAAACGGCCCTACTAGGTAGAGGTATTTAATAATAAACGATAGCTCTTCTCCTACTCTGCCCTTAGCTTACCCTCGTAATATACGCAGTAACTTTTATTCCTAAAGTTATCGTATACCTAGAACTTCTACTTAAGGTAGGGGGTAAGGAGGACGCTAATACTATAGTAATCGCTAAATCGATCCTAGGTATCTCGATAATATTTCTCTAGCTTAGCCTAAGTAGCCTCGTATACCTAATAGATATCCTTCTTCTAGGATATCCTCTTATTCTTAAGTCGCTTTATCGCCTCCTCTAGAATATCAAAAAGCTTATTATAGTATATAAGGACAAGGTAAATCGTCGGACCTTTCGTTATTCTAATTACCGCTATCGCCGCTATAAATAGTTTCGTAAGGTCGATAAGGTACTCTACCCTTTGCTATTCTTCGGAATCGATACCTATATCTTTACTTAGGTCAAGTCGCTCGATATAAGATTTAATAACTACTTAGAGTCTACTAAAGCGATCGAGTATTAACGTTGTTAAGGACTACCTTGTCTTTACGTCTTAAACGACCCTTAGGATACAATCTTAAACGCCTTTCTACCGACGGTGCTTTATAAATAGCTACTTCTTTTAAAGCATCTCTTTCTAGAGGTCGATAAACTGTTCGAACCTTTAGGAGCTCGAGTTAATAAAGATATAAAGCTTCCGGATCTAGAGATTAAGATTAGCTAGAGTAACAAACTGCCGACTATAATTGCTAACTACGCTAGTCAACTATACTTTCGAGGTAGAAGGGTTTATAGTTTATTAGGCGTAGATACTAATCTTACCTTTAAAAGAAGATAGGGTATACTATTAGCTTAAGGACGGCTAATTTGCTTACTCTATACTCTTCTTCTCTATAATATCTTTCTATCCTTCTCGTAATCCTAGAATTCGGAAAGGTCGTTTATAGGATAAAGCCCTAGGCGGTCGAAAAAGGCCTTTAGGAGAAGTTAAGCAGTATAGGCAAAGTAGGGAAATCGCTCCGGACGGCTACCTCGATTATACTCTATAATTGCCTCCTCCTCTTCCTCTCCTATCTCTAATTCGGAACTAGTCTCCGTACGTAGATAGAGAGATAGCTACTCTAAGCTCGTTAGTAGCTTAGTAACCGTTATACTATATCTCTCTTAATAAGTATTAATCGCTAAAACACTATAGAATATTAGAGGAGAGTAATAATAGTAGAGTAAGTATCCTTATATCGTATTATATAGCGTCTTATTATTAGAGGCGTTATCGTATATAATAGTAGTTAATCGGCGCTTAATCTCGAACTCTTGTAAGATCTCGAATAGTATCTCTATAAGATAATTACTAGTATAACGGCTAGTAATATAAGGGAAACTAAGTATCCCTTCGTACTAAGTCTATTAGTTATCAATCTAGTAGACCCGTATAGTTAGGATAAGGTTTTTATAGTCCTGGATTACTAACTATTATACGCGATAGCTATCTTAAATCTTCTAGCGAGACGGGCTTTAAGAGAGTCGGCGGAGTCTATAACCTTAGTATCGAGCATCCTTCGGTATATCGACGCGTATTTAAATAGAATTGTCTCGACCTATCCCGGGAGTAGTACTATATAAGTCTGTTTTACTAAGGGTCGTTTAAAGAACTAGAATAGTAGACTATTGTCGATAATTATCTTAAAGTATAGGCGCGGGAAATCGTCTAGTATATAGCCTAGGTCCCTTGTCTACCGTAGATTGCTAATAGTCTAGAAATATCCTTTTAGTATAAGTAGCTAGACGTAGTTAGTAGACGTAGTCGGTAGGTATAGTCGGCGTTAGTTAGTATTTACTTGTCGATGCTTCGCGGCCGTAAACATCTCCTTTATAAACCCTCGCTTATCTTGTTTCTCCTAGTAGTTCGAGGAGTCGAGATACTTCTCGATAGATATTGTACTAGTATTTAGTACTAGATGTTTTAGTACAGCGTTATAGTATCTATATACAACTTTAGGCGTTATATCTTCTTAAAGTATTCCCTTCTCTAGGAAATCCTATACCTAAGATATCCGAGACTTACTCCTCTAGGTAATTAGGGACCGATCGAATATAGTACGACCGTTCCGCTTTTTAAGGCGCTTTCCGGTATAATTCTACTAGCGTACCTCGTACTAACGCTCAAAGTTGTCCTTATACCTAAGCCTCTATAGCTAGTAATTTAACTTAATATCCTACTCTCCTATATAATTAGGCTCGATAGGGAGAATAAGGGAACTATCTAGTTCCTCTTCTACTAGACTCCGCTGTCTCGTTCTACGCCGCCTAACGTTAGGTTGTCGTCGGCGTCGACCTAGTATTAGACTCGATAGCGCGTTGAGTATCGTCCTATAGCGCTAGCGTAGCCGTACGCTCGATCGCGTAGAGGTCCCGGAAGAGGTATCGGGCTAGGAGGAGGATTCGAGCCGGGAGCTTCCTACTCCTAGGGAGGACGAGAAGAAGGACGAAAACATAGTAGATAGACGACAATAGCGTAAAAGTCTAGAGGTATCTTAAAGAAGTAGGAGTAGAAAGGGGAAAAAGAAAGAGAATTTCCTATACTTAATTATAGTATTACGCTATAACAAGGGTATAGCTAATAGGATATACCGACATTCTGCTATATCCGAGCTAACCTATCGAAACCCTAGTTTAGGCGTCGCTTACTATTTACCTATCGCTTCTACTTCTTAGTCTTAAACTTTAATAAGGGTAGCTAGTCTCTTATCCTTCTTAACTAGTTCTTCGAAACTAGAAATCGAGAGGCAGAGTTCGTCTTCTTAGAGGAGGAGGAGTAGAATAGCTTCGAGAGTAATACTAGTATACTCTTTTACGCTACAATAGATAAGGCTATCTATTACTACTAGCTATATTGTCTATTCCTTTATAAGAGAGTTCTCTTTCTCGTATATCTTATACGCTATCTTTACGAAATACTTGTTCTCCTTTATTGTCTTTAAAGGCAAAAAGCCGTTAGCTATATAGTCGTAGGTAGGGGGAATAAGCTAAGAAGGGCCTAGTAATCGCCCTCTATAGTAGGCTTGAGCTTTAGTATCCTACAATAGGACATTCCGGCAAACGGCTCGCTTAATAGGCGAGAAGATCTTATATAGTAATAGTATTCGGACTTCTTCGATACAAATCTAGAATTATAATTAGTTTCTATAGTCGGCAAATATAGTCGGCAGATATTTACCTTTATTGTCTCGCTACTAACGATTTTTAAGACCTCTTTTATACCTTTTTTATTTAGTATATCTAGGTTCTTAAGGATAACAATCTTGTCCTAGAAGTAGTAAATAGAAGAGCGCTATTAATTATAGGCCGTCGAAAAAGTAGAAGAGGATGCCTAGATAGCAAAGGTACTAATAGACTTAGCCCTCGCTTCCTCTATCTATAGAGTTAAGAATAGATTAAGAACTAATTCCGAGGGAAGGCAATAGTTACTAAGGCCGCTAACCCCTTTGTCGTACTCCTCGCTAATAGATAGATACTCCTATTCCTACTTAATCTAGTCTTCTTTCTAGAGTATCAATCGTTCCT